CCATAATTTTGACAACCACCCATGCAGAAGACCAAAGAACGGCATGGCACCGTTGCCAAGCTCTCGTCGAGGTCGTCAGCGACGATGGTGAGAAGCAGAAGTCTAGGGTTCCATAACCCTAAACCCTGATCCCTAAACCCTAAACCCTGATCCCTAAACCCTAAACCCTGATCCCTAAACCCTAAACAGCATGCTGGTCAAAGAGCATCTCAAGGCAGCAGCGAAGGCGAAAGGGCAAAAAGCGACAAGCGAGTGCGAAGCCAAAGCCGAAAGCGCCGTGCCAAAGTCAAATCGACGGCCATGGGTTTAGGGTGTTAGGGGTTTAGGGTTTAGGGTTTAGGGTTTGGGGTTTAGGGTGTTAGGGTGTTAGGGTGTTAGGGCGTTTGGGGTTTATGGTTTAGGGTTTTCAGGTTTAGGGTTTAGGGTTTTAGGGTTTAGGGTCTGGGGTGTTAGGGTGTTAGGGTGTTCGGGGTTTATGGTTTAGGGTTTTAAGGTTTAGGGTTTAGGGTTTTAGGGTTTAGGGTCTAGGGTGTTAGGGTGTTAGGGTTTGGGGTTTGGGGTTTAGGGTTTACGGTTTTGGGGTTTAGGGTTTAGGGTAGCTCAGTGTTGCTTCCCCATCAGAAGAAGATTCTGATGAGGAGTCATCTGAAGATTATGATGATGAGACTGCATAGGTGCGAGGCTTTGCCCAAGTGATGTCCATGGTGCCCGGACTGCTTTCGGCGCGGATTGCTGGTTCATTCGACCATCGTGTTTCATCGAAATGGGGTGAAAGCATCGTTGGGATCAATTTGGGTGTGGGCCAGCTACACATCACAAGTAGTTTGCATTGTTGTCCCCATCAGCTTGCCTTTGACTTGTAGGTCTGTTCAATAGCTGCAACTGTGCGAAAGAGCAAGCACAGGCAGGTTGATGTTGTCAGCTATCGTCAGCTTCAGATGGGCGTTCCACCGGGGGCCAATAAAGGATTGCACGCCAGGGCCGAAAAGTGCCCCAGAAAGCCCGGTAAATACGAGCCCATGCAGACCTCCAATGTCAACACTCGCCCGACACGCTTCGAACTTGTCGCCACCTATCATTACGATCGTCATTTTCCATCTTAATGTAGGGGCCTTAATAACTAGAATAGGGTTTTGGGGTATGTCATACTATAATTACAATAAGGAACCCCCCAGAATAGTAGAGGTCATTTAGGCCCCTATAATAGTTGGAATTCCACGTCGTTTCACAAGGTCTTGACAATGATCGGTCTTGGCTTTTGGAGATCTCCTGTCAGTTCATGCGATCTTCTTGCTATGAGCGGGGTTTGGGGTTTAGGGGTTTAGGGTTTAGGGGTTTAGGGTTTAGGGTTTTGGGGGGTGGTCATCACAATCATCACGGTCCTGCTTTTCGTGGCATTCGTGCTGTCACTGTTCGACAGCAGTTGCGACAGCAGTTGAGAAATCTGCAGATTCTGGCCTCCTAGGTCATTTGTAGGGAGGGCCGTTTGAAACAGTCTTCGTCGTACTTTTTTCGCGGCTTGTTAACTTACGAAGTGCTGCGATCCTTTAAAACAGGGTTGGACTTCACGAGTTGGGTTTGGGTTGCGCTTCACATAGGGGAATTTGGTGTATGCTATACTCTAGATTTGTGAAAGAAGTTAGGGGATATGCGTAAGTTGCTCAGAAATGATTTAAGTCGCTCCATCAAGGCTTTGTCTCGTCATGAAGACCAGGACCGCAAAGCTCGAAAAGCGAGGGTTTAGGGTTTAGGGTTTATGGTTTAGGGTTTAGGGCCCTGAAACCGTCTGTCCGTCTACGTTTTTAGGACAAAGTGACTTTGGAAGTACGGCTGCTCAGACGAAACGAACCCTACTCCGAAGGCTGCGTGAGCCTTCTTCTTGGGGATCACGATGCACTTCTGCGTGTGGGCGATGAGCATCAGGTTGAACCATTTCTCTTCACGGTTGACCTCGCAAAACGCCAACTCCCTAACTGGATGCTTGCTCAGGAACTTAACTTAATTTTTTTTGTGACGTAACAAAAACTCAATCCAGCCTAATCCCCGCAAACGAGCCTTGACTCACGAGCGGAACGGCTCTGTTCGGAGACTCGGGGAACTCGGCGAGTAGAAAGTTGAAATCGCGCTGTTAGAGGTAACGTAAGCTTAAAGCTGTTATCCGGTGCATGACCATGCACAGAACCTGCTTCAGCCCGTGTTGTTTACTTGCTTGCTGTTTGCTTCAGTACATACCAACTAGCTCACTGTATCTAGCGAACTGACGAACAAAGCAACTCATTCATTGACCAGCTACCCCACTAGGTAAGTGACTGACTGACCGACTGCCTGACTGCTTGACTGCCTGACAACTAACCTACTACGTCCTCTCAGTCTTTGTGTTACTTTTAGTCGAGTTGCTGCTCATCAGTTCCTACCAGTAAAGCTCCAAAATATCATACCCCCCTATAGCGGAACCCGCATAACCACACCGAGCGTATTAATTGAGTGGTCGACATCACACCTTAATTCTACAACCCAGAAAGCACTACGAGCCTACAACAGTACTGTGAATACAGCTTTCCAACATCTTAAACAAACATGCGTGTAAAGTCTCTGAACCCGAACCCTAAACCCTAACACGAAGCCTAGCTCGCACATTCTCTGACGTCATTCGATCAAGGCCTCGCAAACGGTAAGGCTAGTTCCATCCACGGCGATGTAACCTTCGGGGCACGGCCACGGGTGTAGGTCGGGTTAAGCTTCAGAACTGACGGTTCGGAGGAATAGGGCTTAGGGTTTTTAGGGTTTAGGGTTTAGGAAGTGTCACATCGGCGGGGGGGGGAGGGGGGGGGGCATGTTAAAACCTGTTAAGACTATATAGGGGCGGCTAGGGCAGGGAATATACGGGGATATTTCCCTGTCTGTGCAGACCCCTGTAATGCACACAAGCCTTAGCTAATGGAGACTTGGTGTACTGTTCTGCTAGTTTCCGGGTAGATTATACTATAATAATTAGAATAAGGAATCCCCCAAAAATAGTATAGGAAATTATGAAGGCCCTTACATGAAACTCCAGAAACGCTTTAGAACTGCCGGGGTGCCGCTCATTCAACTGCCAGGAGCTTTGTCAGGGTTTGGCCAAGGATTCTAGGTTGTAAGGTAGGGGCCTTAATAATTAGAATAGGGTTTTGGGGGTTCCTTGTTATATATATATATATATAGATATACACATAAATAAATAGTTATATATATATATACATAATTAAATAGTTATATATATATATATACATATATATATATATATTTATGTATTGTAAAACAATTCCCCACACCCTCTTCTAATTATTAATGGGCCCCTATAGTAGTGATTGGGAACCCGGAGGAGTGGAATTGGTAATCACTTAGGCCCTCCAATTAGTCAAGAAGACTAACTAAACCGCCGCAAGCCCTCATTCAACACGAGATCGTAGCTCTCAAACCCTGGCTCAGCCTGAGTGCCATAAACACCATACCGTAAACCATCCCCTATACCATAAGCGTCCTATTATAGATCCCTTATAAAGGCCTTTAGGGAGCCCTTTAAGGGAACCCTAAATCTATTTTTAAACGCCCCTTAGACCCCTAGACTCCTAGTCACCCAATGCACGGAATCCCTGAGCCCGCCCGACGTAAACCCCTGCAACGCCCTAAGCAGGGTTTAGCGTTTAGGGTTTAGGGGTTTAGGGGTTTAGGGGTTTAGGGTTTAGGGTCTAAGGGTCCAAAGGACTATCAACCGGGCTTCGGAATTAGGGTTTGGCTCTAAATTAGGGTCCCTTTTAGGATCCTTTTTATAAGGGTGCCGTACTATATTGGGGACCTAAAATGGGACCCTAATTTAGAGAACTACACCGTTTAGGGTTTAGGGTTTAGGGTTTTAAACATGTACTTGGGTTACGGATGGTGGCTTGTAGGTTCGTATTCAACCCTAAACCCTAAACCCTAAACCCTAAACCCTAAACCCTAAACCGGTATATGATTATTCTTGCATCCTTCGGAGTTCTATCAGACCCAGAATGCGAAAGCCCTAAACCCTAAACCCTAAACCCAAAAACCCTTAACCCTAAACCCTAAACCCCTAAACCCTAAACCCTAAACCCTAAATCCAAAAACCCTTAACCCTAAACCCTAAACCCCTAAACCCTAAACCCTAAACCCTAAATCCAAAAACCCAAAAAACCTAAACGCTTTAAACCTGAACGAACACCGGCTCATGGTGAGCCTCTAGGGAACCTGTACACAAAAAGCTTCAGACAACACCACTAGTAGGGTTTAGGGTTTAGGGTTTAGGGCAAACCGAGCGCTATACAAAACCTCTCTCAGTGACCACAGACTGTGCGCCTTTAGGGATCACATACGGTAGAAGGTCGTCGCTCAAAGAGATCCGCACCCTTGGGTTCACAGCCGGTTTCTTGGTTGTTTAACAATGTTCTTTGGACCGATGGTTAAGGCTACCTAGGGCTGCTGGACCCTTAAACCCTAGACCTTAAACCCTAAACCCTATAGTGGCTTTTATGCCTTAGAGCTTGAGATCCCTAAACCCTAAACCCTAATTCGGACCTGCAGGGCTTCAGGATTTCATGGCTTGGGGTTGAGGGCTTTCGGGTCTGGGGCCACCGGTGCGTCCCGTTTTAGGGTTTTTGGTTTAGGGTGTTGGGTTTAGGGTTCCAGGCCAGAAAAACAAAAAGGATCCGGGCTTTCAGTCAGGTTATGCCTCACCCAGAAGCCTGAACGCTACACCTTTATAAAAACGCAAGCCGTACCTCAACTTAGTTGAAAGGAGATTCCTTCTCCCATCGCATCGTGCCACTTTCATTAGCCATTGCCCTAAACCCTAAACCCTAAACCGTTGCTTAACTTTGACAGGCCGAAAACATGTTAAATCCCACACCACCGAGAGCAGCTGATACTTTGGGGAAGCTCGGAACCCTGAAGGCCAAACGCCATGGGCTACACAAATACCCTACTATAGCCCATCATAGGCAGGCTCTGAGGCCCAACAAATGAACCCACGAAAGCCCTGTGGAGCCCAAAGAACCCTGTACGAACTAGGAGCCCTGAACCCTACACTGCCCTAGACAAGCCCTGCAGTCTGCCAGCAAAGACCTCCAAACAGTAATCGTAGCACGATGATGGCAATACCACGACGACCACGACCACGACCTCTGGGCCCTAAACCCTAAACCCTAAACTCTAAACCCTAAACCCTGGGCCACAACCGACGAGCAAAAGGAGACTACCGGGAGACACTAGGAGACTAGGAGGGGCAAACTGCTTCGCAGGAGCACGGCCATTTCTGAGCACAGCGAGACTTCCCCAAATAATAAAGGGGCCTTAATAATTAGAATAGGGTTTTGGGGCCCATTATACTATAATAGGGTTTTGGGGCCCATTATACTATAATAGGGTTTTGGGGCCCATTATACTATAATTATAATAATAAGGCACCTCCAAAATAGTATTGGTAATTATTAAGGCCCCTACATTACTAGCGGGACTCATGCGCACAGCGAACATGCCGGAGTCAGGAGCACGGCGCTGATGCTTCCCTCTCTATACTTAGAGGTTCCTGGGACTTAGTAACTAGGGTTAGAAATAAGGTAACTAGACTTATAATTACTTATCGCCCCAATTAGGGTACTTCTAACCTTACTTACTAAGTCCCATGATCCTCCAGGTGCCCAAAACCCTAAACCCTAATAGTACCCCCCCATATAGATCCCTTAAAGGGCCCCTATAACCCCTACTTACTAAGTCCCCTGTTAGGGGTTTGGGCACTTGGAGGATCATGGGACGTAGTAAGTAAGGTTATAAGTACCCGAATGGGGGTTAGAAGTAATTATAACTATAGTTACCGAACTTATAGCCCTAGTTACTAAGTCCCATGATCCTCCAAGTAGGTGAATGCAGACTTTTGGCGTGCAACACGTGGCCTATTCATTGAAGTTTGTACTTAGTGGATCTGGCTTTCCGGAAATGAAGCTCAGCGATCCAGTTTACGTGATAGGACATGAGCGCAAACTATCAGCACGAGACGCGTCTCGCGGAACGTTGTCCCCAGCCGCCACGCGGCCATATAAGCCAGTTCGCTTTACGCTTAACGTTCGAACCGCCATGGGGTGTACCATGCGGTTTGGGGACTAAGCCTTAATTACATCATACTGCATACACCCTACGACCCCAGCCCTAAATGAAACCCGACGGCCCCTTAAAACCTACAGCCTAAACCCTATGAGACCCTTCCAAAAAACTCAGTAATAGAGGGACATTAATAAATAGAACAAGGTTTTGGGCCCCAGTATACTATAATTACAATAAGGACCCCCCCCAAAAAAAAAAATAAATTGTGTCGGTAATTATTTAGGGTTTGGGGTTTAGGGTTTAGGGTTATTGTGTCGGTAATTATTTAGGCCACTACAATACAAATCCAAGGCTTGAGCCAAAGGGAGTCGCCCTCCGGTGTGAATTTCAAGATCTTGCCCGCTTCGTCGACGTGGCCCTGAAAGTGCTCTTGATATGGGAGTTTCCGACAATGAGGGGTACCATATTTTTGGGGGTCCTTATAATAAGGATCCTACTACTTAGGGTACTATATTAGGGTCCCTTATTTTCGGAAACCCCCATATCTCGGGAAGGGATTTCTGGGTTTGCCTGCTTTCTTCTGTTGGAGGGTGGGGTACTGTAGCAGTCTTGTTGGGTGTTGGGCTTGCTTTGTTTGATGCCAGGGCTTTTGGGTTGAGAGTCTTGCGCCTGTTGGGACACTAGCCTTGGCTTTGGAGTTTTTCGACTTACAAGCACAACATGTAATTAATTTTAATGGTTCCTTTAAGGAACAGGTCCCCCAAAAACATGTTAAAGTATGGTACTCCAAAGCCCAGTTAAGCTTGGCGACACATCTGTACAATGCCCAGAAACCGCAAAGCTGACAATCGGAGATCCTCAGCCCTACAACTACTTAAGACCTACACTTCTGAAGCCCGTATATGTTCAACAAAGTTATACCCCGCAAAGCCACGGCCTCAAACTTCGAAGGCCTTGTACCCAGAAAACACTTGAACAAAACCCAGGAACACCCAATTTCTGATGCCCTGCGAAGCCCGGAACCCTCTGCCCCCACGGACCTGCGTTCTAGAAATTCCAATCACCGAAAACCACAGGGGTTTAGGGTTTGGGGTTTGGGGCCTGAGCCCTACATGGGAGAGTTCTTCGAACAACACATTCCGCGTGCTGGGGCGGCGAAAATGTATGGAACTGTCTTGAGCCTTTTATCTACCACCCGGAGCTCCCAAGACATTCCAACAACAAGAAACCTTGGAGCACCCCACCCTAAAACCCAAGACACCCCGCCTAAACCAGACTCAGACGCCGAACGCATAACCCTGTCCCTGAAACCTAACCTTTTGAACCCTTGCCTCCTGAACCCTCGACTAAACTTTAATCCAAAACCTCACGCAACATAGGGGCCTAAAGAATTAGAACAAGGCTTTACGGTAAAGTATACTAGAGGTATACGACTGATTACTGTTAGCAATCATCTAGGCTTCTGCACCAGATATTCCGACCTGTACAAAATGGCCGGAGTTCCGGTCGGTCGCAGCCATGGACCTGAATAGAGGTTTATGGGCCTTATTGACTAAGGTAACTAGGACTTATAGTTACTTCTAAAACCAAGCAGGGTGCTTATAACCTTACTTACTAAGTCCCATGATCCTCCAGGTGATTGAGCTTCAAGATGCTTTGAGTGAGGTTTTCACGCTCAGAGGGTTAGATGGGGGTTTATTGTGCTATGGTTATGGTTGCTATGTTTAGGGTGTTATGGGGATTAGGAATCTATGCAGTGCTACCGGGTCTGATCGGGTGTCATTTTGTGGTACAGGGCCTTAGAGCTTTCGAGCTTGGCGGTTCAGGGTTTGTTGAGTATCCATGGCTTGAAGCTGCTCAAAGGATCAGGGGGGGCGCAGGAAGTAAGTCGTAACTGGGGTTGCCTGAACCTTCATTAGGGCTATCGAAGATCTTAGATTGTCTTGCCCTAAACCCTAAACCGACAGGGCTTGAGACTGCCCTGGAAAATCCCCTTCTAAATGCCAGATGTCCGTTAAAACCCCGCTAGAACCCCCTGAGTCCATGAAACACAAAGACTTTTCTGAATGACCGCTCGGGTTCTACAATATGTGTGTATATATATATACACATACATACATGCATACATACATACATTCATTCATTCATTCATTCATACATACATCCATACATACATACATACATACGTACATACCCACACACATACATACATACATACATACATACATACATACATACATACATACATACATACACAGGCATGTGTATATACATATATACACATATCATACATAGATACGTACATGTATATATACACGTTACATGGACAGACACGTGGGAAACATTAACCTCCCGTGCTTTGCACAGAAAGTCGGCCTCTCGAGGTTCACGAGGTCGCCCTTGTTCAGGTCGCCCAGGTCCGTGCGCCGCAGCGTCTCGGGGGCGCAGTTCACTTCAAAGGCCTCGTGACTGGGCAGAAGCTGCTTATACATATATATATATATATATATATATATGTAATTAGAAATAATAAATAAATATATATATATATATATACACACACATATTTGGTTGTTTTTTTTTTGTGTGTGTTTTGGGGTTTCGGGTGCATTATTGGGGCCTACAGGGTTTTAGAGCTTTTTCGTGTTCTGGGGTTCCCAAAACACTGTAGGGCTTGGGGCTGTACCTGGAACTTAAAGACTTGAAGAACTAACGCACGGGTTCGTTCTTGTTTAGGGTTTAGGGTTTAGGGTGTAAGATTGGGGTTGAGTTGTAGCTATGACCTGGTCATATCTTCTGCGCGGCTGGTCCCCCTTTAGTCACCGTGGCATCCCCACGTGGGTGGGAAGTTCATCTAAATCGAAGAACGAAGTACGGCGCAGCAGCAGACCCCATTCCACAGAGGAGGGCGGGGGGGATGCGTTCCACAGAAAGGGAGAAAGTCATTGTCTTCTGGGGATCATCGGGGGGAATTTGCTTATACAGACCATCTGGGAAAGAGACCATGTCTGGGACTCAGGGTTAGGTTTAGGGTTTAGGGTTTAGGCTTTAGGCTTTAGGGTTTAGGGTTTAGGGTTAGGGATTTTAGTTGTTGGAACCGGGGGACTCAGTAGGTGGGCGGCTTAAGAACCCCCTGAATCTGGATCAACATCTGATAAACCCTATAGTAAACTCCAAAAAGCTGGAAACCGGATTAAGGACAATGAGGGCTGGGATTCCTGTTGCATTGCTCTTAAGGATTGAGGGTATTGGGTTTCCAACTTTTGGGCTTCTACTGTAAACCCTACACCAGGTCGTCTAACTGTTCCCGAAGGCTTCAGGTATCGACTCGCTCTGACATCTGCCTCCATACTAACATCACAGGTACGATGACTTTGAGTTGTACTTTCTCAATGAACACCCTAACCATGTCAGCTTGAGGTGCTTTGTGAGATACTTTATACCTCTCTCTTGTGGAGCTTCAAAACCTCCCCCGCACAACACCGACACCTGTGACGACAGCTGCAACCAAAACATTTCTTGCTACGGTCAGAATAGGAAATCCTAAACGCTCTCTTGACAGAATAGACGCCAGAATGCTAGACTACTGCTCCTGGCAAGCATTGCAACAGGCGATACGGATTAGGCGGAGACCACGTGGATCTGATGTGCTTGCATTCCCTTCTGTCAAGTCCTACACCCACAACCCTGAACTCCAAAATTTGCACCCTAAGTCCAAACCCCTCAGTCCATAAGCTTAAGGCCCTGAGGTAGCGTAGGGGCCTCAATAATCAGAATAGGGTTTTGGGGCCCAATTTACTATAACTATATTAAGGAACCCCCAAAACAGTATCGGTAATTATTTAGGCCCCTACATTAACCGCCCATTAGAGCCCATTGAACGCCTCTGAGTTGAAGGTCGTCACTGTGAGACAAGTGCCGTTCACTGCGATGGAGCATCCGATGTAGGCACCCTTCAACGCCTCCTTGGACGTGGGGCTAGGAGGATGCTGATAACAAGTTCATGATGGTTTAGGGTTTAGGGCCTAAAGGTTTAGGGTTTAGGGTTTAGGGCCTAAAGGTTTCATAATCACCTTCTTCTTCTTCATTCAAACCCCTCAGCGCCGACATGAGCACAGCCTCACCATCAACAGCAGCACACTCCTCCAAGCACCGAGCTACATCTTCGGCTCTGCGGCTAAGATTTCGCAAGAGACTTGTGCAAAGCACTGTGCTATCATTGACTGCGGCGCACAGATTAGGTGATCACGTCGATGATCAAAATTAGACAGCAGCAAGATCATAAGCATGCGCATCTTTTGATCTCCATAACCCTAAACCCTAAACCCTAAACCGCAAACATTCTGGCGCTTGTAGACCCCTTAAAGAAGCCGACTATAGGCGCCTTCAGAATTAGAATAGGGGACCATAATGATGATAACGACCCCCCAAAGTAGTGTAGGCAATTATTTAGGCCCCTACATCATAGACTAGAGACTGCCAGGCTCGTAAACGTATCACCGAGAGATCATCCATAATAACCCTTCGGGGTTATAAGGTCTAGGGTTTGGGTTTGGGTTTAGGGTTTAGGGTTTGGGGTTTAGGGTTTAGGGTTATAAGGTCTAGGGTTTAGGGTTTGGGGCTGGACACCGCAGTAAAAACCGCAAAGAACACCCAGAAACCTCATAGTGACCTCTGCAGTGCCCCTGTTGCAACCGTCATCAAAGTTATCATTAGAATGACCGTTATAGAACCCGTAAATCCTACTGACAGTAGAGAGCACTCAAGCACTAAAACCCGTGCTATCGAACTTCACAGCCTTACTTCCCCCGTAAGCCATGGAAATGACATGATCAACTTTCAGATTACTGTCGGGCACTGGAGAACTAAGCCTCAACCCTACACTCTGAACCCCAGCATAGAGCCCTAAAGAGAACTCTCCCGGAAGCGCCTCACACTTGATCTTCAGCACGAAGCCTTCCGACTTGGACCCATCCCACATCTCCAGGTTCGCCTCAGGCTCGGAGGATTTTGCCTTAGGCCTATGGCTGGCAGGGTTAGGTTTGCCTGGGATCTAGGTGGAGGGTTTAGGTTTAGGGTTTAGGGTTTAGGGTTTTTTTGGTTTAGGGTTTAGGGCTTTTTTGTTGGGTTTAGGGTTTAGGGTTGAGGGTTTAGGGTTTTTTTTGGGTTTAGGGTTTAGGGCTCCGGGTTCGGTGGACTTGGGGAGCTATGGGCTGGAGAGGTTTTGAAGGGGGTCCTGGTTTAGGGTCGCGTGTCAGGGCTGCTGAGAGAATCTTAGGGCCTATTAGGGTTTAGGGTTTAGGGTTTAGGGTTTAGGGTTTAGGGGTTAAGACCGGAAATATTCAGGACACCCTGACTCATGTAACAATAAGTCTATCCTCAACCTACTTACGAGGTACCTTCAGTGTGTTTTTAGAGGGTTGCAGATGCGTCGGATCTAGAGGTCTACGATTGAGTAAAACAGCCTTTTCCAGCGACAGCCGGTAGCAAATCTGTCGGAACAAGCACCATGGAAGTTACGTAGCTAAACAAAGTTGCACAACACCTTTGCCTACCACCCTGTAAACGAAACCGGCTTACAATTCATCGACAAGAGGCTTTCTTCTCCACGGAAAGCACTGTCCCCATCTCCTGTCACAGGGAAGGAACCCTTAAGCCCAATACCCTGGCCCAAAAAAGTTTAAACTTTTCTTTCTGTAGGGGTTTAATATACCAAAAAAGTTTAAAGTGTACCTATTGGGCTCCTAAGGGAAGCCAACAGCAACTTAGAGACCAGAGCAACCTCTCAGATCTGGTTATAAACTCTGAATTCAGCGACTCGGTTAGGTCCCCCGCACGGCTCTGTAGAGCCTGCACACCTACTGTGAGGCATGCTTGGAGTAGTACGTCTGCTTCGTATCCGCGATCATCCCTTATGATAACCACCACAGCCCTTCCTTTTCCCAATAGCTCACAGGATCAGGAATCAAGTAACTAAGTTATACTTAAGGTCAGCATGAGCATAATCGCATACACGGTGCTCATAAAATCCTGTTGGCAAGCTGGTTGCCAAGTCCCTGATCTGTCTCAAGTACGTGATAACCGCGGTAGAACTCGGTCGGCTCAGTTGAAGCTAAGCTAAATAATCGAGTACTGGAGCCATAAGCCTTGACTACCTAGACTTGCTTGTAGCCCACATGCGCGGTAAACACCTGTGCGTTAAGCTTCACTCTCAGCACCATCGACAGCTGAAGCTAAGAACGTGGTTTCCGACGTAGGCATAGAAATGCCATGGCTCGTGTCCTCAACAACTGGATCCTTGGTTGCTACAGTTCTCATATCTTCTCATCCCCTTAAACCCTAAACCGAAAAACAACAGCTTCTTTGCCTTGAAATTCTGGGACACCTCGTGAAAACCTCAACATGCGGCCAGAATGCACGATCAAGGTGATTGCTATAGGGCCTGAATAATTAGAATAGGGTTTGGGAGCCCATTATACTACAGTTACAATAAGGAACCCCCGAAACAGAAAACGTAATTATTTAGGCCCCTGTACTATTGTAGTGATTGAACAGGAGGCATGCTACATTAATTGATAGGGGGGAATGGCAGCAGAGTCGGGAAACCAGAAGAACCTGGACGCAAAGGGCAGCAAAAGTCACAAGGAGACTGTCTGCTCCTTCAAGCCGCGTGCCCCAAGCCCTTGACGCCAGCTCAAACTCCCTTAACCCCAAATTCCTGAACGCTTAAACCCTACATAGTCCCAAACTTCCTATGCCCGAATCACCTTATCGGCAAGGATGTGGCCTCCACGATCCCGGTGAAGACCATGGTGCCTGCGTGCCGCGTCTCACGAATTTTGGTAAGTCGGTGGCCTTCATAACTGGAATCGGGTTTAGGGGCAGGTATTGCAGTTCCCTAAACCCTAAACCCTAATAAGCTTGTAAACCCTAAACCCGAATAAGCTTGTAAACCCTGAACCCGAAAAAACTCTTGTAAACCCTAAACCCTAAACCCTAATAACCCTGAACGTTTCGCCGGGTAAGGGTTCCGCGGTGGGGTTTCGCTCAGCAGCGACCCCCGATCCGAGCCGCAAGGTGCAAGGTCCACACTGAAGTAAAACCTGAGGGTTTAGGGTTTAGGGTTTAGGGTGTAGGACAACCCAAACCCTACCAAAAGTTGTAGGTCAGAACCAAGCCCAAGATAAACCCCTACAAAAAATGCCGGTTAGAACAAAGCCCCAAATTAACCCCTACCTAAGCTATGACACCTTTCATGTGGTAGAACACTCCGAAACAATAGTGTGTATGTATGTATATATTATTATATACATCAATATATATGTATGTAGATGTATTTATATAGCTATATATATATATATATTTATAATGTATGCGCCTGGTCAATTTTCGCATGGCACAGCAGAGCCATGTTGGTTTCAGGACAACCCTACCGCATGCGAGGCTCGGACTAATCAGTCCCAGGGGTACACGAACAATAGAAGCTATAAGGGTTTGGGGTTTGGGGTTTAGGAGTTTAGGGTTTAGGAGCTTAGGGTTTAGGGTTTAGGGTTTAGTATTAATAAGGGTTTGGGGTTTAGGGTATACGGAGGATATATGGAGATGCGTTTACGCAAGCCAGTCCCAATCCCTCTCTTTCTGAAGGGTGTGCGCTGAAATATTTCAAATATCCCAACTCCCGGACCCGAACCTAAACCCTAGACCCAAAGCTGAAGAAGGAACTCCAGACCCCAACATTGAGGGGTTTAGGGCTTCGGGTTTACAAAAGCCCTAAACCTCTGTAAAGCGTGATAGAGCCCTTTTAGGGTTTAGGGCTTTAGGGTTTAGGCCACGTAAAACCCTAATGCCTAACAGCCTGAAGATCCCCCAAAAGCCTAAAGCCTCTGGGGCAGCTTAAAGATTTTGAGGCTGAATATATAAGGCTGACACGGCGGTCCTCTAGCTGAAGTTTTCGGGCTTAAGGATACAATCGCTTTAGTGTTCCACACGACGGCAAAATCACCGCTTCAAGCGCGGAGTCTCTGAACACTAATCCCTGCATCCGCAAAAACTTCAAGCGTGATACCACAACAGGGCCTGCAAATGCTCAGCGGCTCCAACCAAGAATCGGCCACGAAGAAGCGATCGGCTAAAGCTTTCAGATTGTGCTTTTTCTGCTAACTTGTAGACTAAACTTTGTAATCGCCAAGCTGATGATGGTGATTAGGAGCAATGAGACTAACATCTGAAATTTAGAGCTTCAGGTCCTGCATGTTCATGAATTGTCACGAGGATCAACATCTGAAGAACTAAACCCTAAATCCTAAACCCTAAACCCTAAACCTGCAGCTGTTTTCATAAAGCGAGACGGAGCCTGGGAGCGCACAGAAAAGCCGAAAACAAAAACGAGTGAGACGGATAGAACCATGGCAGTCATCTGACTACTACTATTAGTTTAGGGTTTAGGGTTTAGGGTTTAGAGTTTAGGGTACTACTACTACTACTACTACTACTACTACTGCTGATGCTGCTCCCATAGCAGTCAACAGCTGATGACCAAAGAACCTCCATATAGTTGGAGTACTAGGAATGCTGGGACCGCATTCTGCGCATCTCCTTTGCTGATGCTAAAGTAGAGGATGACACCAACATCCGTACCTGATCAGCGCAAGGGCTTCCCACACGTTCATACCGTATCCATGAGATTCCGAAGTTGCGTTCCCCAGACCCCCCAAAACCCTAACCCCTAAATCCTAAACCCCAAGACCGCCAAACCTCTGAACCCCTACACCCCAAATCTCTAAAGTCTAACCCAAAGGGTCCATGTACCCAAATAGTATATACTTTGACCCCAAAGTAGCTCTATAGGGACTACTTTAAGGCCAAAGCATATACTATTTGGGTATTAAGCCCTAAAACCTAAACCCCTGAACCCCCAAAACCCCAAAACCCTAAAACCCTAAACCCCCAAAACCCTAAACCCTATTTGGGCACATGGACCCTTAGTGTTAGCAGCTCCGGCTCAAGAGCAGCCGCCCTGACAAAGCAGACCCGAAGTAAGAGAATTCCCCAAAACGCATACAGCAGAAGCCAAGGTTCCTATATGGGACTTTCCGAAAATTAGGGTACCTTATTTTGGGGTCCTTACAATAAGGATCCTATTCTTAAGGGTACTATATTAGGGTGGCGTATTTTCGGAAACCCCCATATAGGGTTTAGGGTTCAGGGTTCAGGGTTTAGGGGTTTAGCGGTTTAGGGTTTAGGATTTAGGGGGGTTTTGGGTTTAGAGGGAACCCCAGAAAGTTGGAACATGGGTTTAGGATGATTTGTGCTAGGATCCCTTATGCTCTACCTTCAGGCCATGAGGATGACAATGTTCCAACTCTACTACGTAACTTAAGAATCTATCAGCCTAGAACCCTCGCTCTTCCAAAGACTACCATCGAATACCATCGAAACCGAAGAATACACATAGAGCCCCCTAGCAGACTTCGACAATAAGCCACAGACAGAGACGGTAAAAGCAATTGAGATTTCTGTTAAACAACGCTAAACCCTAAACAGCCGATCTCAAGAAGTTTAAGGGTTCCGCAGCTCGGACTTGTGACTCAATGCCGTCGAGTTGAATACAGTCGGTTTAAGATTCAGGGTTTAGGGTTAAGGTTTCAGGGTTTAGGGCTTAGGAAGCTCTGCAAGGCTGACCCTAAACCCTAAACCCTAAACCCCTAAACCCTAAACGCTAAACCCAAAATACATCAGGATTGAGAAAAGCTTTCACAATGTTGACACAATGTTGATAAGAGGACCCAAAAAAGCACATAAGCAAAACTTGGGATAGGGATATCCCATATGAATCCCCTTTTCATGAAGCCCAATAAGGCTTCAACAAGGTAGGGATATCCCTATAAAAAGCTTATGCTTCTGTCCTTGTTGGGTCCCTAAGATAAGGATTTTCTACAACTGGCATGATCACGGGGGCTCTAAAAAGGACTCATAGGGCCAACAACGATTCATATTGTTTTAGAGTCTTACAAGGGTTGGGGGACAAGGGGACCTTGTCAGCACGATATACTTACTCACCCAATGAGCCACAGAAAAAGGTCACACCTTCAGGTTACTGATCAGTAGAGTAAAAGAACCCAAAAAATCACAGGTTGGGTATTGGAGAACTCAAAACATGTAGCCTGGCAATCCAAACAATTCCATGGCCTACTTGCGAATCCCCCGATCCTGGACGTATACTGAACCCTAAACCCTAAACCCCCTAAAGCCCTGGACCCTAAACCCTCAACCCCCTAAAGCCCTAAACCTGGCACGAGCTCACTTTTTCTGCGTCAGTATGGCGGTCCAGCTTGCCGGGAAACCTCTTGGCCCACAAAACCGGTTTAGGGTTTAGGGTTTAGGGCTTAGGTGTTAGGGTTTAGGGCTTAGCGCTTTTGGTTTAGGGTTTAGGGTTTAGGGGCCCGCTCAGGGGCCGGATATCTTAGCCCGAACACGCTTATATAACTTATATAACCTTTATGGTGGGGTTATACAACACACTTATATGGCTTATAGATAACCTTTCTGGTAGGGTTATACTTTCTCAAGAGCAGGCTAAAATCAAAGGCCACCTACCCAGTCCTTAAACTCGTGAGTTCCGTCATGTT